AGGGTCCAGTCAAACAGGCCTCGAGATGCAGGCGGGGACTGGGCTCCGGTCACCTGGCGAAGGCTCCACAACGGTATCTGCCTCCGCTGTCTGTTCAGCACCTGGAACATCCCAGTCAGAGGTCACGGCTGGCCCTCAACACCCCACCCCAGCTGGGCTCTGAACCTCACCAAGCAGTCGGGCTGGGGCCGTGCCTGCTTGTTGGGGGGTCCATGGCTTCTGCTCCTCTCTCCCCTCTGGCACCTCCTGGTGGGGGACAACCCTGCAGGGTGGTCAGCACAGATGGCACACCTGCTGGAAGGTGCTCTCTCTGGGAACAGCTGGCACCTGATCCCACGCTGTGACCCCCCCCCAGGAGATGCGCCCTGCACCCTGCACCACCACTGGCCATTCTTCTTCTGGAACAGCAACGGGTTCCCAAGTGTCGAGGACGGCAGAAGACGTGTGCCCAACCCCCCCGGCCCCAGAGGCTGTCCCTGAGAAGCAGCCAGAAGCCATGTGAGAAAGGAGCTCCCTGTCGGCCAGAAGCATGTGCAGCCCAAGGGGAATGAGACGTTACCCAGCAGGGGGCTTGCTGAGCCCCTCGTACGTGCCGAGCACCATCCTGGCTCTGGAAAAACACGGTGACCCAGAAAAGGTGCTCATGAGGCTTCCTTCCCTGAGGCGGGGGCTGGGGAGGCATCCACACTGCCTGCTGAGGACGTCGGGCCGCCAGAGGAGATGGGCCGTCCGGGACGGAACAGTGCAGACCACATGAGGCACCCTCACCTGAGCAGACCAAAGCAGGGTCACATAAAGACAGGCTGTATAGACCCCGGGCAGCCTAGCATTTCACATAAGCCACTTCGTGTTTCCAAACAGACACTTGGAAACCCTGACAGGCTGACTCGGTCCCCAGGGCTGGACCTGCGACAGGCTGCAAGTGGCTGACAGCCTCGGGTGCAAGGACGTTCTGCCAGCCACACCGCCTCTCAGTAAACGCATGCTGTGACCCTGTGTCAGCCGGGAAACCTCTCCCGCGGGCCCGTGCTGCGGGAACCGGAACAAGTGTTATCAGGATTAATCTTGTTCTTTCAAAACTCAAGAGTCCTTAGAAGTGACTCTAGGTATTAAAAAAAACTTTAGGGGCGCCTGGGGGCTCAGTTAGGTAAGCATCGACTTTGGCTCAGGTCGTGATCTCATGGTGCGTGAGTTCGAGCCCCGCGTCGGGCTCTGTGCTGACAGCTCGGAGCCTGGAACCTGCTTCAGATTCTGTGTCTCCGTCTCTCTCTCTGTGCCCCTGCCCTGTTCATTTGCTCACTCCCTCTCTTTCAAAAATAAACAAACATAAAAAAAAAAACTTTAAAAGCTAAAAACCTGAAAATGAATCTTTGATCTTTTCAAAGACGGTTTCATCTGTGTTTATACAAACGTGACAGTCGGCAAAAGGCTGAGCCGAGCTGTGCTGAGACATCTCATGCCAGGAGACGCTGCTCATTCTCTCCCGACTGCAAACGGACATCGGTCCGCATCCGAACCCATCCCCACGCCTTTTCTTCCTTCTAAACACCCAGAGCCAATTTTCTTTAAAATACACAATGTTTGGATGATGAAACACCCAAATCTCTTTCTGGAGAATAAGATTAAAAGTGATTTTGTTCCATACATGTCCCTGTATTTTTGAAATTTTCCACAAGGAGCCTGTATCATTTTATAAGCAGAAAAACTGATTTCTTTACAGAACGAAACAGAATCTCCTCCTTTTCAAAGGGACGTATAACATGTCAGGTGTCTTTGTTATTATAATTCTAACTAGAAGTTCTAGCTTCAAATATTTTATTTATACAGAGAAAAGTAACCCTCTAGGTAAAAATAGGATCCACTATTATCAAAGTTAAACACACCAAAGATAATACGGTTAGAAAACAGACATGGGCACACCAGGCTCAGACTCGGCTCCAATCCCAGCTCTGACACACAAAGGTTGTGCAAGTTTCATAACCTCTCTGATCCACAGTTCCCTGGTCTATAAAATGTCCGCTGTGAGGAGTAAAGGACTTCCGGGGCAATAAGAGGGCTGTGTGCCTGCAGGTGTGCAAAGCCAGACCCCTTGGGGGTCTTGACACATGCATGTGTACATACACACGCACCAACCAGAAAACAAACCCTCACATTCTATACGCTCCAAATGTGACAAATAGTGGCTGATGTAAAACGAACCGGTAATTTAAAATATTTTCATTTGAAAACAGATGCAAATAAATTTTAAAAGCAAAACAGGAGGGGCACCTGGGTGGCTTAGTCAGTTAAGCGTCCGACTTTCGCTTAGGTCATGATCTCGCAGTTCGTGGGTTCGAGCCCCGCGTCGGGCTCTGTGCTGACTGCCAGCGCAGAGCCTGGAGGCTATTTCAGAATCTGTATCTCCCTCTCTCTCTGACCCTCCCCTGCTCACGCTGTCTCTCTCTCTCTCTTCTAGAAATAAATAAAAATATTTAAAAAAAAAAAAGCTAAACAGGAGACGTGAAAGCAATGTGCTTACAGCCACAGCCACCCTTTCTCCCAGGCCTCCCGTGGGAAGTAAACAGTCAGTGCCTAGAACTGGCCTTTTGTCCGCACTCAGCGTGTAGTGAGCTACCATCATGACTCCTGAGCAGGTGCGTACCGTTAAGCAAGAAAAAGGTGACGTCTTCATGTTTTACAGCCCAGACCTAGCAATGGGGCCAGCTCTTTATCTGCGGTGCCCAATTCATTCCTGGGGATGTTAATATATGCTAAGCAATCAATACGCCTCATCAGATCAAAAAATATATGAGGAAGATAAGAAGCGAGAGAGAAAGCAAACCACGGCCTACCCCAGAACTAGTTCTCCTAAATTTTCCTTGAAATAATTACCACCATCTACGCAACACCCACACATACAACATGTGCATCGATTTCTCCTTTCAATGTTCAGCAGCTGATCAATGTGGGGAGCCCGGGGCCGTTTGACCCGGAGAATGGGAGAAGGAAGAGACGCAATAAAGAACAAGAGGCTAGAGACTCCGGAACGCTTCCTGTAACATGAATTCAGAGAGCACAGATTCTTCCTGTTATTAAAAACTGGAATCTTGCCACTCACACTGGGGATCTGGTCAGGACCTGACGGCATCCGACGAGCCCTGGACAAGGGGGTGGGGGCTGGGGACCCGGCTAGTGGGGGCCGATGGGGGATCACGGCAGTGCCCGGCTTTGACTCACACATCTGCTCGTCAACCAGCGGCATACACCATCCACTTAATTAACCTTCTCTTGAATTATTTATTATCTTCCCCTGAGTGAGAGCAATTATTCTTGCTGGCTACCCTCTCTGCTCCAGAGGCTTGTTCAGACCACTCCAATCCTGGCAGTTCGATGGAGTATCTGGTACCTGCCACCCTCTGGCCACGGCAAAAACACGAAGAAACAGCAAGTGAAGTATTTCTCACAAAGGGGAACCATGAGCCTTCTGGAATGCAGATAGCCTCCCAAACCCAAGGAAGCAGAGAAAGCTCCCCTGAAGGCATGAACACGTCCGTGCTGCCCTGTTTAGGTGTGATCTGCCCTGCACCCCTTTTCATTATATATCAGGTAAAGTTTCATTCTCCCCGAATAACCTCAACAACTTCTGGGCTCAATGCTGCAGCGATAGACCTGGGTTCCTGGGGCAGAGGAGAGGCCACAAAATCCCATCACTTCCCACCGCAGGATTTTTGATCCTCGGAAAACTCTTGTGTCTGAATTCCTTCTCCCCACCCCACCCTCCAACACCCTCCAGATTCCCAAACCCACTGACGCACAGGCTTGCACATCCAAACGCAAGGGGAAGGCTGGGGACCTTCCAGGTCTAGCGGCTTCCTTGCCTCCGGGTCCCTGTCCTCACTCTCAGAGCCTCCCCCAGGGGCTGCGCTAGCCTAGTGGCATCTCAACATACACCCTCTCGCTCTAGAACTCGCTTCTACAAACCACCAGCACCCACCCACAGCCCCTCTGGTGGGCTTCCTGGCATCGGCCCCTGCGGGCGCGCTCTGCACGGCTCTCCAGGGACGAGCCTCCGGGAATCCGTCCTGGGGTCCCTCCGCGCCTCCGGGCTCCCTGGGCGGGCAGGCTGCGCCCGCTGGCTCGGTCCGGAACTGCCCTCCTCACCGTTCCCCTCCGCACCAGCTCCCCGAGGGCGAGGGCAGGGGGCCTTGAGGGTGGTCGGCTGGCCAAGCGCCTCTTGGTCCCCGCGCTGCGGCCTCCCCCTGCCCCCTACGCAGAAGTGCTCCACACCCTGGACCCACAGCGCACCTGCAGACCCGCGGCCCACCTACACGGCCCCCAGCCCACTTAGCCCTCGGAGGGCGGCGGGGCGCCGGGTGCGGGCAGTCTGCCACCTGCGGGGGTCTTGTAGGGGCTGGTGACGGCGGAGGACGGGGAATCTCGCCGCGGGACAGGCGACCCCCACTTCTGGTCCCCTGCCCTCCGGGCCCGCCTCGCCGTGCGCCCTCTCCCACTGGGTCTCCAAACGTGTCTGAGTCAGACGCTGACATGTTCGGTGTTAGTTGTTATAGTTACTCGACTAACTGCTGCGCCGGCAACTGAGGGCAGGGAGGAGCGGGCTGGGCGGGGGTGCAACCGCGCGCCGCTGGCCCCGAACCAGGCTGTGGGGGGCGGGGGGGATCTTGCCCGGGGCCCTGTGTTCCCCCTGCCCCCTGTTCCCCCGCCAGCAGCCGGGCTCTGAGGGCGCCCCGGGCTGGGGGAGGGGGGTGCAGCCGAGCGCACCGGGCCCCGCACGGGGGGGTGGGGGGGGCGTTCCTTGCCCGGGAACCTGCACTCCCCCCTCCCAGGAGCCGGGATCCGAGGGCGCGCCGGGCCGCCGGCTCGGGACGCCGCCACCTGTCCCCTGCCCCGGGTCCAGCACGCAGGGGCGCGGCCGGCCGCTCACGCCCGGGCCGGTGCACTTCAGAGCGGACAGAGAGGAAGGGGCGGACAGAAAGAGTTGGAAGTCGCGGCCGGTTACTCACGTGCCAGATGGCGAAGAAGATGAGCGCGGCGCACAGCACCAGGGACAGCATGTAGCAGAAAGCGGCGAAAGTGAAGGCCATGGCCGGCAGCGAGACCTCGGACGACCACGCTCCCTCCGAGCGAGGGCAGGCGGGACCAGGTCCGCAACCCCGCGTCGAGGCCGGAGGCTGGGAAGAGGCAGGCCCGCTGGAGAGCCTCGAGGCTCAGGGACGGCGAGCAGGGCCGGGACCCCGCAGCTCCGGCGCCCGGACCCTCCGCAAGGCGCTCGGGCGTCGCCGGCGGAAACTGTCCCCAAATCGAGGAAACCGGTCAGTGGAGAACTCGGCGCGGACGATCGCGGCCAGAGGGCCCCGTAGGCAGAGCCGGCGAGGGCCGCGCGAGGAGCGCCCGGAGTCCCGCGCGCGAGCCGGAGGGGGAGGCGGGCGCGCCACCGGAGCCCCGCCCGCGCCGCCCGGCGAGCTCCCCCTCGCGGACCCCGGAGCGGCGGCGGCTCCCTTCCGGGAGCACAGGTCTGGGGTGGGGGAGTGCTCCAAGGGCCGGTGTCCCGCGCGGCGACCCGACCTCCCCGGTGTCCCGGGCTGGACCGGGACCTCGCTCCACCTGCTGCCGCTGCCGCTGCCGCCGCCACTGCCTTGGCGAGGACCGCGCGGCGCGGCGGGGACACCCTGGCCCCAGCCTCGGCTCCCGCGAGCGCGCCCTCCCCGCCAGCCTAGCGAGCCCGCCTCTCCCCGGACACCTGCGGCGGGGGAGGGGGCGGGGCTTCGGAACACGTGCGTGGGGGGAGGTGGACGCTGCGCGAGGGGGCAGTGTGTGCGCGCGAGGCTGCCGCCCGCAGGTGCCCGCGGCAGCGCGAGGGTGGGCGGAGTGCGGCCACGGAGAGGGTCGTGAGGGGGCGGGGGGGGGCGGTAGGGAGCACGGGAAGAGTCCTGGGGCCTCGGGCCTGCTCGGGTGGGTTTTCCCACACTGCAGTGCCCTTCACGGCCCAGCCCCTGCAAAATCCTCCAGTGGCGTCTTTCCTTGCAGCTTCTGCCCTCCCTGCCATCTGACCTTGGGGGTGCGGAGGCAGACCCCGTGCAGGCCCTGTTATTGGTGCTGGTTCAGTGCAGTTGTCAAGAGCACGTGCTTCTAGAGCCAGACCCCTTGGTGCGACTTTCTTAACCTTCTTAAACCCTGGCTTCCTTATCTGAAAAAAAATTGGGGGGTAAGAGTACTACCAATCCATTTCAAGAGGTTAAAATGGAAACAAATAAAGCGCCTAGCACGGGGCCTGGAAATTGACACACGTTCAGTAGACGGCAGGGTGATAATCCGCACACATGTCCCTGGCCGGCATCTCGGGATTTCTGAAAGGGCCGTGAAGGAGGTGCCGGTCATTTGCGAGAGTCTTGGGTTTCAGAGACGTCAGCACACCCAGAAAGCAAGCGCACACGTCCTGGAAAATGGCACATCCTGGTGGGAGGCGGGACCCGCGTCACGGTTTGGAGCGGGTCTCAGAGCACCGGGTATCTTGCAGAGTGCGCGCTGAATAAATCCATCTGCGTCTCGATCCCTTCTGCCCCTGGCGTGCTAGGTGGGCGGTTGGGGGTTGTGATTCCAACGTCCTGAGAGCTGGGCCTAGACTAGGATGTGATGGGCAGGCTCCTGGCCCTGGGTCTTTCCTCCACACCCCAACCTCCCCGCAGCTGCCTGGTCACACCTGCAACCTTGGTAACTAGAGGCCTTTCAGCCGGGAGTGCAGATGCTAGAGCAAGTCCAGTGGCTGTTGACACAGGGCCATCGGGTCAGCAGTTAATTGCCCCTGGGTCAGGACTGTCTACGCAGGACTGGGGAGGCCAGGTACAAAATGAAAGCAGGGCTCCTTGTTAGAAACCATTAAGAATTTCAAGACAGGGAAGCCTGGGTGATTCAGCTGGTTGAGCGTCCCACTTCCCCTTGGGTCATGATCTAGGGGTTCACAGGCTCAAGCCCAGCATGGGGCTCTATGCTCGGAGCCTGGATCCTGCTTCAGATTCTATGTCTCCCTCTCTCTGTGTCCCTCCCCTGCTCTCTCTCGCTCTCAAAAATAAATAAACATAGAAGAATAAACAAAGAAGAAGAATTTCAAAACCAAAGCAGTAGAGCATTAAAGAGAGCGCGAGGCCCTTGTGAGCACAGGACCCTGGACAGCTGTGGGGGTTGTGCACTGTGAATGCAGCCCTGCTCTGGGTTATACGCTTTACCACGTTCTCTTTCACTCATATGTCTCCTGGTATCAATTCTTGTTAAAGAAAATTTGAAAAATACAGAAATGGAAAAGATGAAACAACACCATTGTTGGCCAGTTTCAGAAACCAGCAACTGAATAGTGGTGTGTTCTTTCCAACTGTTTTCTGCTTTTGATGTTATTATACCTATCATTTCATTTCCGTTTTTAAAAATTTTTTTAATGTTTATTTATTTTTGAGAGAGAGAGAGAGAGAAAGAGCACGAGCAGGAGAGGGACGGGGGTGGGGTGGTGGGGGGGAGGGAACAGACACAGAATCTGAAGCAGGCTTCAGGGTCCGAGCTGTCAGCACAGAGCCCAACATGGGGCTTGAACTCACGAACCATGAGATCATGACCTGAGCCGAAGTTGGACGTGCAACCGACTGAACCACCCAGGTGCCCCACCAATCATTTCTTTTAATGGCTGTAACTATACTGTATAAATTCTGTGGCCCTGAAACAATAAGAAAATATCAAAGGAAATTGCAATCATTCAAATGTTTTGAGTTCCTTTCAGGTCTGAGCTATTATCTTTTATTTCTGCTGGTTCTTGCTTATGGCATCTTAGCTCCTTGTATGTCCAGTAAGTTTCATTGTATGTCAAACTTTTTAAAAAATTTCTTTGCAGAACTGAACTCCCCTACGAGCCAGCAATAGCCCTACTAGGAATTTACCCAAGGGATACAGGAGTGCTGATTCACAGCGGCACATGGACCCCAATGTTCATAGCAGCATTTTCAACAATAGCCAAAACATGGACAGAGCTTAAATATCCATCAACTGATGAATGGATGAAGAAGATGTGGTTTATATATACAGTGGAATACTACGTGGCGATGACAAAGAATGAAATCCCGCCATTTGCAACAACATGGATAGAATTGGAGGGTATCTATGCTAAGCAAAACTAGTCAGAGAAAGACAGAAATCATATGATTTCACTCATATGTGGAACTTGAGAAACTTAACGGATGACCATGGGGGAAGGGGAAGAAAAAATATATACAGTTACAAACAGAAAGAGAGGTGAACCATAAGAGACTCTTAAATACAGAGAACAAGCTGAGAGATGATGGGGGTTGGAGGGAGCAGGGAAAATGGGTGAGGGGCATGAAGAGGGCACTTGTTGGGATGAGCACTGGGTGTTTTAAGTGATGAATCATGGGAATATACTCCCAAAGCCAGGAGCATACATATGCATACATATTGCACACTGTACACTGTATGTTAGCTACCTTGACAATGAATTATATTTAAAAAAAGTTATTTGCAGGAGTTCAAGGACTAAGATGATGTTATTTTTGTCCAAGGAGGATTTTCTACATCTCCCACCGGGTGTCTGGGGGACACGACCACTCTAGAATTGCCTTACTCCAGATTTAGGGTTTGAGGTTTTCTGGGGTAACCAGATGACTGTGGTCTGCCCGAGGCGGGTTTTTTCCACTTCACCCTTATTCACAAGGAGTGGTCCCTTCAGATCCCGGGCCGAAGCAGGTGCTTATCAGGTCCTAAGCCCTGGTGGTCCTTGGACTCTGGCTTTCCCCCAAGCCCTACAATGCACTAAAAGCCCAACCCAGGCTTACCCCTCCTCTGGATTGGCAAATGCCCCAAAGGGCAAAACTGGCACCCAGAGCTGGGCTGACATCTCTGGATCATGACCCTTCTCCAAATTTGTCCCCGGTAAGTCCTTGCTCTCAGGGAAGTCTTTGATGCTTTTAAGAAGACCTTTTAAGATTTTATTCAGCTCTTTAAACTGTGTGTGTTCAAAAATAAACTCAAAATGGATGAAGGACCTGAATGTGAGACAGGAAGCTATCAAAACCCTAGAGGAAAAAGCAGGAAACAACCTCCTTGACCTCAACCGCAGCAGTTTCTTACTTGACACATCCCCAAAGGCAAGGGAATCAAGAGCATAAATGAACTATTGGGACCTCATTAAGATAAGATGCTTCTGCACAGCAAAGAAAACAATCAATAAAACTAATAGGCAACTGACGGAATGGGAAAAGATAGTTGCAAACGACATATCAGATAAAAGGCTAGTATCCAAAATCTATAAGGAACTCACCAAACTCCACACCCAAAAAACAAATAATCCAGTGAAGAAATGGTCAGAAGACACGAACAGACACTTCTCCAAAGAGGCCATCCAGACACATGAAATGATGCTCAGCATCCCTCATCATCAGGGAAATGCAGATCAAAACCACACTGAGATACCACCTCATGCCAGTCAGAGTGGCTAAGATGAACAAATCAGGAGACTCTAGATGCTGGCGAGGATGTGGAGATACGGGCACCCTCCTACACTGTTGGTGGGAATGTAAACTGGTATAGCCCCTCTGGAAAACAGTGTGGATGTTCCTCAAAAAACTAACACTAGAACTCCCCTGTGACCCAGCAATAGCACTGGCAGGAATTTACCCAAGGGATACAGGAGTGCTGATGCATAGGGGCACATGTACCCCAAAGTTCACAGCAACACTCTCAACAATAGCCAAAACGTGGAAAGAGCCTAAGTGTCCATCAACGGAGGAATGGACCAAGAAGATGTGGTTTATCTATACCATGGAATACTACATGGCAATGAGAAATAATGAAATCTGGCCATGTGTAGCAACATGGATGGACCTTGAGGGTGTTATGCTGAGTGAAATAAGTCAGGCAGAGAAGGACAAATATCATATGTTTGCACATTTAGGAGAATTAGGAGGAGCTTAACAGAGGATCATGGGAGAGGGGAAGGGGAAAACAAAGTTACAGAGAGGGAGGGAGGCAAACCATGAGAGACTCTCGAATACTGGGGACAAACTGAGGGTTGATGGGGGGGAGGGGAAGATGGGTGATGGGCATGGAGGAGGGCACTTGTTGAGATGAGCACTGGGTGTTGTATGGAAACCAACTTGACAATAAACTATGAAAGGAAATAAAATGAATAAAAAAAGGTTGTGTGTGTTGTGGGGGGACTGGTCGG